GCTGGCCTGTGCAGACACCACGGTTAATGAGCTAGTCATGCTAGTCAACATTGGCACTGTGGCTGCAGGTTGCCTGATCCTCATCATCATATCCTACATCTTCATCGTGGCGGCGGTGCTGCGCATCCGCACAACTGAGGGCCAGCAGCGCGCCTTCTCCACTTGCACCTCGCACCTCACGGTGGTGCTCCTGTACTACGTGCCGCCCGTCTGTATCTACCTGCAGCCTCGCTCCAGCGGGGCAGGGGCTGGGGCCCCTGCTGTCTTCTACACCATAGTCACACCCATGCTCAACCCTTTCATTTACACTCTGCGCAACAAGGAGGTGAAGCGGGCTCTGCGAAGACTTCTGAGCCGAGGGTCCCGAGAGTCTCCAGCAGGCAGCCCACCCCTGTGACCTGCACTGCGATTCTCTTAATTTGCCTGCCAGGAAAGCATCTATTCCCCTATCAAAAGGGGAAGAAGGGAACATAATTCAAGTGGAAATCAAAAAAACTGAATTTCAGCTCAGCCAAGAACTGTTTTCCCCTCCCTTCCACCAGGTGACCTGTTTCAGTGTTTCAGTCACAAATTCTTCATCTGTAAAAGGACAGGACTGGATTAGGTGAAGCCCAGATTATTTCTAACATCTAAGTTCTAGGGCTCAGAGGTATGTGAAATGCTATTCGTATCCTCATTCATTTTAATGACTTTTTAAAACTTTTTATGAAATAACTGTATTAAATATAATGCAAATTTTAAAACACTGATAATGAAAATATAGACATAGACAATAAATGAATCTTTGTGTCTCCCGGCTAGAGAAGGAACCAGTTTTTAGAATAAAATACAACTACAAGGAGAAAAGCAGCCTGCCCAAGGACAGTGTCATTATCTTTATTTTCCCACTCAAGATGCTATATAAGTAGCAGAAATACCATGGGTTTTGAAGTCAGGTGGACCTACCAGTATTCTAATCCTGATTCCATCAGTCATTAGATGTAGAAACTTGTGCTTATTTTACATAACTTGGTGTCTCAGTGTGCTCTTCTAATACAGTAAGATTAAAATTAACTACTTGGTAGGATTTTATGAGAACTAAATGAGATACTATATTAAGTGCTTGCTACAAATGTTTCCATTTCCTACAAAACAAGCTAAAGTCAGAGCGCTTAATATACAAGCTAAGCTTAACACTGTCTGAAGAACTAGCAGGATTTTGATATCTTCATTGAACACAGAGAAAGCAACTACCAAAAAAAAAAAAATTATATAGTATATATAAAACTAGACTCTGAGGTGAGAGATAACTCAAGGTTCTTGTTAAAGTAGCTTGCCATATAAGTGGAAGTAGTCATGCTGCATTCAAAAAAGTGAATGAATGACCCTAAACTACTCTATGGACTGAGAAGGGCCTTGAATGCCAGGCTAAAGAGTTTAGATTATATACTAGACACTTTACCTCTTTGTTTCTCCTTTTCTTCTCCTGTATGAACACCTTTATCCTGAGAAGCCACATTTTTCACTTCTAAAACATGGGGTAAATAAGAAAGACGAAAAAAGAGACAGGTGCTGGAATGACCAGTTAATAGACTATTATAACATCTTAGATGTGAGAGAAAACATTAACTTTGATGATGACATTGGAGATGGAGAGGCATTTTACAGAATCATATTAGAAGTGTTTTAAGGGAGAAAAATTAAGGAGAAAATTGGGGGAAAATGGGAAGACTGTTAGAACTGGAATAGTAACTGTAATCATTTTTGAAGCACGTATGTGCACGGCACTATGACAGTTGCTTTATCTTAATTATTCCTCCCTAGAACTATATTTTAAGAGAATGCCATTCGCTTAAATTGTACAGATGAGGGAACTAAGTGAGGTAAAATAACTTTCCTAAGGCCGTGCAACCAGTGAGAGTTGAAGCCAGGATTCCGACTCAATTAACTCTGTATGGCTCCAGAGATGACATATTTCAATTGCACGTTAATATTTTAGAGAGAATCAAATCTAGTCCCTGTCATTTATGAATTTCCAATTACATTAGAAGTCTCAAGGTTATTTTAGACTTTTAACCAAGGGCGGTTCTCTTCGAGATAAGGACTCCTTGACCTTTGAATAGTACCTAGTCCTGTAATAAATACAGGGTCTGAACCTGGCATTCTTGGAAGGGGAAAATGATTGGAAATAGAAAGAAACGCAGTGAAGACGCAGAATTCATCTAAAATTTAGAGCTATCTCCCCTGTTACAGTATCTCAGCGTTACTGATACATCTATAAGAAGGCCAGAAGTAGCCCAGGCAAACCCGTCATTCCCATGAGAGGAGACTTTAAGCACAGATAGAATACGTGAAGAGCCAAATACAAAATGGGACACAGTGCTAAAACAAGCTTTGGTCCTGTCCTAAAGCACTTATCTACCTTGTCAAACGGCTGCTTCCTTGAAATTACAGGATAAATAATGGAAGACAAATGTAGCTATGCAATCCTAGTCTTATATTATTCCTTCCTTCTCAACTTTGGCCTTGACACTTTTATATCTGTCTATCTAGAAAGAATCTTTTACCGTCTTGAACTCTGCTCTTGTATCTTCACATCTGTCTCTGGCAGCCTGCGTTTTCCATCTCATTGGTTTATTACAGGCCTTCATAATGGCACTAATAGAAATCCTCCCTTACTTTGCTCTTGCATGTTTCATGTGCACGACTAGATGATAAGAACTTTAACAGCACAGACACTTTCTACCTTTTATATGTTCCAAACAAAGGTTAACTCAGTAAAATATCTGTTCAGCCCAGTATTCAAGACCTGGAAATAGAACAAGACAGATCACAGTAAAGTTATCAAGTCAGAAAATTTGTTTTTTATCCAGTAGGGGAAGAAGAAAAAAAAGGGTTAATCTCAGTAGTTTTCTCCTTTCAGATATGTTGACCTTTGGGTCATTTTTAAATTTAGATTTGGAGTATTTACACTATTACAAGTTCACCTGAAATTTAAAGGGAAAAGGACTAGAGAATTAATTAGTACTGATTAAAATGAAAACAACACTTGACAAGAGGCAGACGGCGACCTAAGACTATTATTTTCCCTCCAAGGCAAAGAGGTAACAAACTGATATTTTCTTGATGGCAAATATGTCGAATGGACAGGAAACAAAAACATTATTTGGACATGATAGTTTGCAGGGAAGGACACACTACAAGAGTGAGTAACTTAGCATTCTTACTACTGGTCATCCTATAGCAGGGAGCTTCTGAGGGAGAGGTTCATCAGTATCCCTGAAGGTACAGGGTAAAATGAAATCATGATGCGTGTAATCAGGTAGACTAAATATTCTCACAGAATGAAGGACTTCCACAGTAGCAATGGCATTCAAATAATGAATATGCAGGATTCTTAGGATTTCTAGCTATTGTTTAAATAATGTGAAAATCTGTAAATCATATAGTTTTGTCGTCCCCCCCCCGTCCCCACTGGCAATGCTAGAATTTAATGAAATAGTATTTCTTTCAAAATATTCTATTATTTAGAATTTTCATTGTCAGGTTTCTCCACCTTCCACTTTAATTATTACTAACACAATGTCTGCTATATAAATTAGGATAAACGTCTTATAACATTAAAGCCAGGAGAACACAGATTTTAGAGAAGCTATTATGAGATATTTGCCCAGAATGTTATACAAATATATAAGCTTTGGAGACAGGTGTTCAAGAACCAGCTTTACTACTTTTTAATCAAGGAGGTTCTCTTTGATATAAGGATTCCCCAAACTTTAATAAAGTTTAAAAACCTGAACTCAGATTACTCTCCATTACACACACACAAACACACACACATTCTCTCAAAAAGTTTACTAAATTCTAAGATATTGGAGCAGACTGTATTTTCCAAAGATGACCACAACAATATCTCCCATTTCAAATGTACTTCCTGAAAAGAAACTATGAACACCGTCCCATCAAGAGGTGGCAGTCCATACATTCCCTGCTAAATGTGGAAGCTGCTATGTGACATCTGAGGTGAGATCATTAAAGGCAATGCAGCCTCCTCCTGGTTCTCTAAGGCACTTGCTCTTGGAGCCAGTCACCATGCACTGAGGAAGGGCAAACAGCCACAAGAAGAGGTAATGAAGTCTTGGGCACTCAGCAGCTAAGTTCCCAGACCACAGTGAGTGCAGACTTACCAGCTATGTGACTGAGCCATTTAATCTCACTCAGCCTACCCCAAGTGAAGAAGGACTGAGCCTTCCTCACCACACTTGGCACAAAATGCAGATTTGTGATGAACTAAATGATTGTTATCATTTTAAAACACTAAATTCTGATATGTTTTGTTATAAGTCAAAAAATTAACAGAAAACACACAATCCTCTGCTGTGCGTGGTCACTGCCACTAACATATACACACAGACATAGGTACAATGCCATTCCCAGGTATCTCTAAGATAACATTGGTTGTATTTCCAAATAATTTACCTACTGTTCCTTATATTCTGATCCTTCATGTATCTTATAATCACTAAAGAACTTCCAGAATGACAGAGCAAGGACCTCCAAAAATCTATTCCTGCATAAAACTAATGAGAACAATGGTAAAAATTGTCAAAAATCATTTTTCTTCAGAACTCTGGAAATGAAACCAGGTCTTGAAACAATCCGAGGTATATTTAGAAAAATTTATATCTCAGTAAGAACATAGAATTCTGTGGCACTAACTTGCTCCATTCCTATCCCTCTCCCACCGGCTTTACGTAGAGCTTTGAAAATTAACAACCTTGTAATCATGGTAGCCATGAAAATCAGCGGCCTCACAACTACCAGAGGGGCAGAATGGGTTTGGAAGTCCCTAAAGAGCTCATTGGCAGAAAACTGTCATTACTTGACCCATCTGGCAGCTAACTGGAAACCCCCACTTGCAGGGCTCATGTTCAGCTGACGTTACTCAGAGCTTTCTCACTGGGAACAGCATTTCCCAGGGCAGTGGCCAAAATCAGCAGCAATTTGCTAACACTGCAGCTGCCTGACATTGTGGCAAGAGTTGGGGCAAACAAGAACTTGAGCAAAATCTTAAAAAAACCACAACAAAAAAAACTGTGGAATGAGAGATACATAGGGGCCTTTGAAAATCTCTGATATATTCCTGGGAATATGGAAGACCAAGCCCAAGACAGACCTGAGATGTCCCAGTTTCTCACTCTGCTGATCTTGCGGTTCCGTGCACATAGGGAAGTGAAAGCTGGAACACTGCAAATATACACAGTACAAACAGGGCTCCTTACAAAGACTTGGAGACTTCATGGTTCAAGGAATTAAAGGACATCTCCGTTCAGCCAGAGGGTCTTTTTTTTCTCTTTTTCAGAGTCTTTTATTACAAGATATTGAATATAGTTCCCTGTGCTTTTTAGTAGGTCCTTGCTGCTTATCTGTTTTATTTATAGTAGTGTAGATTTGTTAATTCCAAACTCCTAATTCATCCAGAGGGTCTTTTCTTGAAATCCTAATGTTTGAAGCACACAATTAGACATGCT